TCAAAATCATTAGCCATCAGAAAACAACGTAGAGTAAAACAATTGAGAGCAGCAGGAGGCAGACAGATGCCTAGGCAGACAGGAGCGGGTCCCCAGTGAAGCCCCACCTTCAATCCAAAAGCAGCCTGGAGTGCAGGTTAGGAATGAAACCCTCAACCCAGGGTGGGAACTTCTGTTCCTGTTTGCCCATCCTTTCCTGATTGGCTCTTTCTGAATAATGCTTTTTAATCAATCAAATGTTGCCTTTTCTACTACTACCTACAGCCCGCCCCCTCCCCCATCCTGTGCCTATAAAAACACCTAGTCTCAGCCACACTGAGAGAGATGATCCGACCTTCTCATTCCCTCTCCACCAAGAGCTGTTTCATTACTCAATAAAATTCTCCATCCTCATTACCCTTCAATTGTCAGCATGACCTCATTCTTCTTGAATGCAGGACAACAGCTTGGGAGCCACCAACCGTGGGTACCCAGAAAGGCTGTAACACTGGCCCTCTGCCCTCAGTGGTGTAGGGCAGCTGCCCCACACAGTGGAAGCAGCAGGGCCAAGCTGGTCCCGGAGCCACGGGCTAGAGCAGAGAAAGGGGCCGACTGAGCTGCTAACATACCGCCATCCGTCAGGCTGCAGATGGTGGAACTAAAAGAACTAATTAGCACACTGTAACACCCCTCTCTGGACTTTGGGCACCCCTGCCTGGGCGCTACCGCATTCTCCTCGGGGTGACACACCTGGTCTGGCCTGGGCCCCACGCGGAGCCTGTTCCTGTGTCATGGCTTAATGCAGCTGGCTGGACCCTGCATTTGCTCACTCACATGCTCCCTCCTGCCAGGGGCTGAGCATGCAGTCACAGTGGCACTCCCTGCTGCAAGCCCGGCAAAGGGGTCAAGAAGAATCCCGAATCACAGTGAGCTCTCATTTAAAAGCTATTAGCCCGACAAAAAATTAAAAGTTGGCTAATGTGAAGTGTGAGTATGTACGTGTAAGGTGCATATGGAAATAGCACCCCCTCACACCGTACAGACGAGAATGAGGACTGGCATCCCCGTTCCGACATCATCTAGAACTATTTTGAGATACACACCCAAGGTGGGAGTTGATGGATTTATAGGGTATGAATATACTTAAGTTACCCAAGAAACTGCCCACGGTCCAGGAGCTATTGGAGATGTTCATGGCAGCAGCATTGTTGTTTTACTCTGTGTGTGTATGTGTGTGTGTGTGTGTGTGTGTCCACATGCTTATGGGCTTGGGAGGTGGTGGTGGCAGCAGACAGTTGAAGGGAACCTGAGTGTCCATCACCAATAGAACAAGAAGCCACGGCAGACTCTCATTACAAAATACTAGGCCACAGTTAAAAGCTACAGATTGAATATACATATAACAACATAGGTAGATCTTAATTTTCCACTAAATACTCTGTTTTGTAAGAAACAGACTGAGAAATGTAATATATTTACATAATACCATTTCCATAAATTTAAAAATACATATAGACGAAACAACACCACACATTTTGCAAGAACATGTGCAAACAAAAATACACATTAACACATTAGAGAGGCAGCTATGGGCGGTTGCGGGGGGAGAATAAAAATGGACTACAAGAATAAAAGTTAATAGAAAAAATGTGAAATGTGAGAGGACATTTCTAGATTCTCCAGAGAAAGGGTTTCTGAACTGGTACATAACACACATCCGTTTTCCAACCTGACTCTAAGATTCATAAAGCTAAAATAATCAAGACAAGGTGGTATTCTGTCATGATGGACAAGCAGACCAATGGAACAGGAGAAAGGGCTCAGAAATAAACCCACACATATACAGTCAATTGATTTTTTTAAAAGGGGCAAAGACAATTCAGTGGAGAAAGGAATAACTGAATATCCATATGCAAAAGTCAACCTGGATCTGTAACTTGAACCATACAAAAATACTTACTCAAAGTGGATCACAGACTACATGTAAAACCAAAAGCTATAAAACATAGGAGAAAACTTTTGTGATATGGGGTTAGGCCAAGATCTCTATGCGTACAACATCAAAATAGCAATCCTTAAAAGAAACATTTGATAAATTGGATTTCATCACAATTAAGAAGGTTTGCTCTTTGAAAGGAACCATAAGATAATGCAAAGAAAATATTTGCAAGTCACATGCCTGGTCATGCCCTTATATCCAGAATAAAAAACCCTCAAAACTCGATATGAAAACAAACAACCCAGTTTCTTTTTTAATGGGCCAGAAATTCAAACATGCTATTCACTATTCTATTCGTGTGCTTATCCTTAGCACACGAAAAGATATTCAATATCATTAATCATCAAGGAAACACAGAACCTCAATGAGATACTGCTACACACCAATTAGAATGGCTAAAATTAAAAAGGCTGACTATACCAAGTGTTGGTGAGGACACAGAACTGCAACTCTCATACACTGCTGCTGGGAATGTAAAATGATACAACCACTTTGCAAAACAGTGTGGCAGTTTCCTAATAGATTATAAAAGTTCACCTACCATACGACCCAGGCATTCCATTCCTAAGTGTTACTCAAGGAAAATGAAAACATGTGAACTTTCAAAGACTTGTGTGCCATATCCATTGCAGCTTTATTTGTAAGAGCCAAAAGGTAAATAACCCAAATGTCCAACAGTGAATTGCTAAAGAAATTGTAGTCTGCCTGTACAATAATGCAATACTATAAAATAAATTTACTGAGCCATAAAAGGAAGAAACCACTGATATATGCAAACCATGGCTGAACCCCAAAACAGTTAACCTGAGTATATACTGTATGGTTTCATTTACATAAAATTCTAGAAAATGCAAACTAATTTATAGTGACCTACAGCACATCCCTAGTTGCCTGGCTAGGGGGTTTCTGGAGGAAGGGGTTAGTTACCAAAGGGCACAAGAAAACTTGCAGGTGTGATGATATGTTCATAATCTTGATCATGGTGATGGTTTCACGAGGGAACAGGGAAACATATTAAGATTTATCAAATTGTGCACTTTGAATATGTGCAATTATAACGTCAATTATATCCAAATAAAATATTTTTATAAAGAAAAACAGGTATTCTGGCGCCCAGGGCCACCCAGCTGTAAGCGGCGGGGTGGGATTCCAACCCAGAAGCGGGCGTCTGGAGCCCTCATGCTTCACCCTAGCCCCATGAAACGAGCACGCAGGATGGCTCTGAGCAGCGAGGAAAGTGCTGGAAGGAAGCAAGCCCAGCGCGTCCCTGGCTGGGGACGTTAATCATTACCCGGGGGCGGCCCCAGCGCGGCCCCGCCCCGGGACTGCCGCCTGCGCGCCTGGCCGCCGCCTGCCCTCTCCGCCAGCCACCTGCTGCCGCCCGCGCCATGGTGAGCCCAAGGGTGCGTCGCCGGGATCCAGGCAGCTGGGCCGGGGCAGCCGCGGGCGAGGTGGGGGCGGGGGGCGGCAGGGGAGGCTCCCTTCGAGCCCCCTGCGGAGCCGCCGGGGTCGGAGAGTCGGGTCTCTGCCCGGCTCCCTGTCGCCGGCGGCGCGGGGAGGAGGCTGAGGCCCTGAGAGGGGCGGTAGCGGGTCCGGGTCCCAGCCAGGCGGGAGGCCAGGCCTGCCCTGACCCAGGCCAGGCTCGGTCCGGGACCCTGCCGGGGGCGGGGGAAGACCGTGATGAGGCAGTCCGCAGATCTCTTCCCCTTAGTGGCCCGATTCTGCTTTGTACTGGGGTGGGAGCGGGAGGGAGGCTGAGTTTGCGCGCTCCTGTGCGTGCCTGTCCGCCGCCCCTTCCGGCTAGCACCCCGGGTACAGGGTCTGCCTGAGACTCAGGCTCTGCGCCCCTGTGCTGTCCCGGGCCCCAGAGCCAGCCCCTAAGCCGGTTTGAGGCCCATGCCCGGCCACGGGGATTCGGGGCGCAGGGTCAGCCCTCCTCCCGGGTGAGCTTCTCTTGCAACCCCGGGGCGGGGGCGGGCCCTTGCTCTGCTGTAGGCTCTGGAGCGTCACCAGGCCATTTCAGGTCCAGGGGCCTTCAGAGCAGTCGGGACCGGGAGGGCTTTTTGATAGGAGAGGGACTTGCGGCAGAGAGGATGAGTGGGGCTGTTTGTGAGGGGCGCTGAGGCCCCAGAGATGCAGGCTTGGGAAATCAGTAACCATCCCGCACACCTCACCAGAGGAGGCAACGATTTACTAAGCAAACAGGATCCCCTTCCCCATCTCTGTCTCCAGAGCCGGCAGCTGGAAGGTTTGTCAGTTCAGCCCCCGGCTGTGCAACTTGGGGGTTCCCGAAGAGTCTACCGAGAAAGGGAAGCCTCCCAAGAACTCACCTGGATCCACCCACCCCTTTAAGAGCGAAGGAAGTAAACAGTGGGCTCTGATGCCTCCTCGGCTGACTTCTGGTTGCCTGGATACACGGACCAGAGGGTCAGCCACTGGGAGAGGGCTGGCTCTGGAGTAGAGACCTTCCTATTGGGCAGATGAGGCAAATCGCTGCTGCCATTCCACCCCTGTAGCCATCCAGAGCGGAGGGGAGCAGCGGCCAAGCCTCATCAGCCCAGAGAGATCTCACGTTTTCAGGAGGGAAAAAAGACGGATTTGGAAAAGCGCTGCGATGCTTCAACTACCCCAAATGCTACCAGGCCCATCACAAGCCTACTTGCCTTAGGAAGTATTTTTTTTAATGCAGATGACATTTGCTTTATAACAGTGGCGTTTCCTAAAGTGCCCCATTGGCACCTCATGATGATCTGTGGAGGTGGAGGTTCTGCCAAGAGAGGGACAGCCACCTGGCTGGTAAATGGTGAAACCGGCGCTGAAACCTGCCAATCAACACACCGTGTTCAGTCTGTAGGCTGCCTCATAAAAGCTGAATTATTCTCCCTCACATTTCCCCCCATCCCTAAATTATTCCTTCTGAATTCAGCACTCTATTTCTGCCCTGGGGTGGAGCTACTCTAGAAGCCTAGGTTCTGGGATCTGTTAAGCTCCTAGAACTGGATCCTCCTAGGATGAAACTGACCCTTGCTTCCTTGCATTCTCTGAGGTTCCACTCATGGCCTGAAATGTGCCAATTTGGACTGCCTTGAGGGTGCTTTGCACAATAGGTAAATAGGATGGGACACTGGGTTTGCCAGCTGCCTTTGGCCAAGTTCCTTCCACTCTGGGGACTGAGCTCTGTGGCCTGAGCTTACCAACCAACCAGAAAAGAAGACGGAAACCCTGAGAAACCGAGCCCAGGCGGCTCAGGGCCAGAGGCTGCATGGGAGCATGATTGAGGACCTGCTAGAGGTAGTGTCAGCGGCGGTCATCTGCAGTGTAGCTGAGAATGGGCTGGACGCTTATTTTAAATGCTGGCTCCTTTGCCCAGCCCCAGGGATGCTGACACACAGACCACACTTTGAAAATGCTGCCTGTGCCATCACTACTTAGGGGTGGGCGGGAAAGAACAGTAGACAAGTTATTTCCCCTCTCTAGGCCTGTTTCCTCTTCAATACACATGAAAGTTATGGCAGGGACGTGGGGCGCATATGATGAAGTACATAATAGGAAAAGGAGCAGGGGACAGTCATGGGTACTCTTTTCCTGAGAGGTTGTGGAGTAACATATTTGCATCTGGAATTTATTTTGCTTTTACGCCCTCATGGATATAATAGATCTCATGGAGGGAGGGTCTGTAAGGCTTTGAGGGCAGGGTTGGAGAAGAGTGCCTCTCTGTCCAGGTCATATGCATTACATTGCCTTTGGGATTTCCCTTCTCTGTGATGTGTGGAAAACCCAAGATGTGAGAGCCTATCGGTGGACAAGCCCGGACCTCGCCTCCTAGGCAGGGTGCCACCCTTGAGGCCTCCCGGCCTATTGCTCAAAGACCTGCTGCCCTTTGGTCACCCACATCCAAAGCAGCCAGTGGAGGCTGGCTAAGTTCCCCTAAAGGTTGGAGCCCCTCTGTTTTGACCTTTAAAAAGAAATGCCCTTGGGCCTCTGTTTTTTTCCCCCTCTTCTAGGCTGGCAAAGCACACAGGCTGAGCGCCGAGGAGAGGGACCAGCTGCTGCCAAACCTGAGGGCCGTGGGGTGGAATGAGCTGGAAGGCCGCGATGCCATCTTCAAGCAGTTTCATTTCAAAGACTTCAACAGGGTATGGCACCAGGGCAGGACAGAGTTTTCTGAGACTGGGGCTGACGGGGTCACCTTCCAGAGCATGTTCTCTCCCTGCATGTCCTGTTAGCCAAGACTCTCCGACACCACACGCATCCAGTTATTTGGGAGCTGTGCCGGTGGGGAAATTAATTTTCCTGCCTAACTCGGAAAGTGTCATCTTTGGGGACTGGAGAGTAGGAGGATGTGATGTGTCTTGGGCTCTCCTTTCCTGGAACTTTTAGCAACAGTCCTCTGAGGAGATAGTTCAATAGGAACCATGTACATCTGAAGACATTTGAACAGACAGCCAAGACTGGCCAGACCAAAAGCCTGCTGTGGTGTTTCCACCTTGTTGGTGTCCTAAGACTTTCTTCCTACTGCAGGGAAAACCTTGAACTCAAGCCTGATAACCAGTGACAAGATGTCAAGGGGGAAATGATTAAAGAGAGGGGAGTCTCCTGGGAGGAAGCTAATTCATCCTCCTGTGTCTAGGCCTTGACTTGGTGATGTCCAGAAGTCCTTTCTCTTAGAAACTAACCTAGCTCTCACTTCACTTAAATAGGCTTTTGGGTTTATGACAAGAGTGGCCCTGCAGGCTGAGAAACTGGACCACCATCCTGAATGGTTTAACGTGTACAACAAGGTGAGTGATGCTATGTGCCTCTGTTGTGCTCTGCCCCCATACAAATCCTGTGAACTCTGACACATTCTGAAGGCTTTGGGACTTAACACTGCGCCTTCCTGACCCACAGGTCATCCACCCATCTCGTTCCCAAGCTCACTGAGATTGCATATACCTAAAATCAACATAAATACACCTGGAAAAAAAATCATCAGTCTTACTATAAAGAAATGCAAATTAAAAGATGCATGCGATACTTGGGGTTAAAGCAGACATTAAGAAGGCAAAACCAGCCCGGCACGGTGGCCCACGCCTATTATCCCAGCACTTTGGGAGGCTGAGGTGGGTGGATCACAAGGTCAAGAGATCAAGACCATCTTGGTCAACATGGTGAAACCCCGTCTCTACTAAAAATACAAAAATTAATTGGGCATGGTGGTGCACGCCTGTAGTCCCAGCTACTTGGGAGGCTGAGGCAGGAGAATTGCTTGAACCCAGGAGGCGGAGGTTGCAGTGAGCCAAGATCGCGCCATTGCACTCCAGTCTGGGTGACAAGAGTGAAACTCCGTCTCAAAAGAAAAGAAGACAAAACCCAAGAAAGGAAAGGCTATGGGAGTCGGGCATACTTATTCAGGGTTCATAGCTCTAAACGGCTTTAATCTTGCCGGAGGTATGGAAGAATGAAAACTTAATAAACTTGAACTAAGAATGCACACACATAGCCAGTCTATCAAATTGCTTAATGATGAAAACAGTCATGAAATGTCTACCACGTGCCAAAAGCTCTGCTGGTTTCTGTTTATAAAAGCAGTAAAGGTGAAAGAGGCCATATGTGAATGGATAGTGTTTAGGAGTTGGCATTGGTTTTTGGTTTTGTCTTTAGCTTTTAGTTTGCTCTTGACATTTGGATGTTTTTACTGTATAGCTGAAGTCACAATTATTTTTGAAAGACAGCATAAGGGGAGATGCAGAAGATGTTGTGACAGACGGTCACGAAGGAGTCCCCAGGAGAGATCGTAGTGGCCAGCTGCTATTCTGGAACTCCTAGTGGGGTTGAGCCCAGCTGCTGTTGACTCCCTCCTGTTCTTAAGTCCGTGGAAGCAGAATTTCTGGTTTCGTTTCAGGTCCACATCACACTGAGCACCCACGAGTGTGCCGGCCTTTCAGAACGGGACATAAACCTGGCCAGCTTCATTGAACAAGTAGCAGTGTCCATGACGTAGACCCCGCCCTTCCTCTTTGAATTCCTCTGGGGGAAGGGGTGACTGAACTGGGAATCCAGGGAGGGAGCTGAGGAGCCCTTGGCCTCTCCCGACTTCCCTCCCAAGACCCAGTTGCCTCCACTGAGGGGTGAGTCCTGGCTGTGGGATGTGCCAGCATCCCTACCAACATCAGGAATTTAGACCTTTTCCCTGTACCACTCTCTTTATCCTGGGGGCTCTGTTACACTGATTTGAATAAGCTCTCCCCTTTCTTTGCAACTTCCCAGCAACAATAATGATTTTCTTGCCAGGCTGTATCTTGCTCCCTAATTCATTTCCCAGGAAGCTGTGACAGAGGGTGAAATAGTCTTGTCTTAGAAACCAATACCCTAAACCTACACTATGTAACAGAAACACATGTGCTTTTATGTCTCAAATAAAACTATGATATCACTTGGTCTCGGGCGCTAGAAACTTCTTTTCCACAGGTCAATCCAAATTGGAGTCAATAGGCATTTAAATGAAAGCACTTCCTCTATGCTAGGCACTGTTGAAGGTACCGGGAAAAGAGAGGGACCAGACCACCTTGCCTTCAGGTTCATTATCATCTAGGGTGTATCATGTGATTATCATCAAACAGGAACACAATTAACTATTAACTAGTACTAATTAACTGTTACTAAGTTGAATTAACGCTAGATAGCAGGATAAAAATGAGCTAAGGGGGACGCAAGTGATTAATCGTGACAAGGGCAAATCTGGAGGCTTTGAGCTATGCCTTGAAGACCTGGGTAGGATTCTTGAGAGGCAGAGAGAGCCGAAAGAACACCATGAACACAGATAAGGATGTGAAGGTCACAGGTATTATATTCATTGTAGAACCTATGTCTAGAAAGGCAGTTTGGGGCCATATTACAGGTTGAACATTCCTAATTTGAAAATTCGAAATCCAAAATCTGAAACTTTTTGAGTGCCAACATGATGCTCAAAGGAAATGCTCATTGGATCATTTTAGATTTCCGATTTTCAGATTATAGATGCTAGTCAGGATAATGCAAATATTCCAAAATTCTCTATCTGAAACACATCTGGTGATCCCACACCTTTAAGATAAGGAATACTCAACCTATATCTTCTTCCTGGCTGTGATGGCTAATTTTATGTGTCAACTTGATTGGGCCATGGGGTGCCCAGGCATTTGGTCATTCTGGGTGTGTCTGTGAGGGAGTTTCTGAATGAGGTTAACATTTGAATCAGTAGACTGAGAAAAGCCGACTGCCTTCCCTAACGTGGGTGGCCTCATTCAACAAGCTGAAGACCTGTATAGAACAAAAGGGCTAAAAAGGGCAGATCCTCCTCCAAATAAGAGGGAAGTGCTCCTGCCTGACTGCCCTGAGGTGGCACATTTGTCTTTTCCTGCTTTGGGACTTAAACTGAAACATCCACTCCCCTTGGGTCTCAAGGCTATAAGCCTCCAGACTGGAATAATACCATCTGGCCTTCCTGGGTCTCCAGCTTGCCAACCGCAGATCTTGGGACTTGACAGCCTCCAGAATCACATGAGCCAATTCCTTCTAAGAAGTCTCTCTGTGTATATTCGTTCTGTTTCTCTGGAAAATCCTAATACACAGGCCTATCATATCAGATACGGGAGATTTCAAATCCTGATGGTCTCCTCAGTTTCTTAAAATCTTAGCAAAGTTCTTAGGGCTTGCCTGGTTTTACTCTACTGGAGAGAAGACACAGGCAGCTAAGGAGCTGGCAGGCTATTTACCACTGGAGCAGTTAAGAGAGATGGTTCGCATAGTTTCCCCAGCCTGCAACTCTCTAGGGCAGAATGTCCCAACTGTGTCATGAAGGGGACACTGAGAGCAGCCTCATCTCCACCCCTGTGTGCATGCCACACAGATTTCACCTCACATATGCCATGATGCAGAGACTGGGAAGCCTTCTTCCTACAAGTTCTCACCGGTGTCTCCTAACCCAAGTACTAAGCTGACTTGCAAATGCTAGGGTCATTTGGAGCAGGAATCTAGCAATGTCACAACTCAGTCAGCCTAGATGAGTTGGTCCCCCAGCAAAGGCCAGAGGATGGAAGTTGGGAAATAAGCACATTGTTCATAAGAGTAATTAGCAGGACTCCCTTCCTATCATATATGCTAGTAAGAAATTATCAACACCTATGTTGATGGCAAACAAGATTCAGACAGTGGTCTCCCATCTGCTCCACTTCGGACTTAAATTTTTCCAAGTGTGTTTTGATCTGATGACTTGAGGACTAGAGGATAGAAGACACCAGACATGGAGGTATGGATGATGCTGTTATGTTACATTCCTGCCTCTGCTTATTATTATGGGTCCAGGGTTGAAAAATATTGACATACAGGTACGGGCACAGTTCACACCTGTATTTCCAACACTTTGGGAGGCCAAGGTGGGAGGATCATTTGAGCCCAGGAGTTAGAGACTAGGCTGGGCAACATAGACAAACTCTCTACAAAATATACAGAAAAATTAGCCAGGCACAGTGGCACACACCTGCGGTCCCAGCTACTCAGGAGGCTGAGGTGGGAGGATTACTTGAGCCTAGGAGGTCAAGGCTGCAGTGAGCCATGATCATGCCATTGCCCTCTGGTCTGGGGAACAGTGAAACCTTGTCTCCAAAAGATAAAGCCAACCTTGGCAGTACTACACTTGTATGAAGCACATTTACGTGAGACAAAGACACAGAAAATACTTTTTTTTTTTTTTTTTAGAAATAAGTTTATTCTAAAAGTAATCCAAATAATTGAAATTATAGGGAAGGATATTGAGAGAAGAAATTACGAGACAGAGGAAAGCATAAAAGAAGGTAATAAAAACTTCAAGTCAAGAAAAGGTTCTCAAAAATCTGACTTTGCCTACCCTGGGTATAGTTTGTGGCTATCAAATTAGGACTCAGTAACTACTTGTCACTGGCTGAAAGCTGTTCATGGCTGCCCAGAACCTACAGAGAAGGCCAAGGGGCGGGCCTGCAGCTGTATGGAGCAGCAATAAGCACCCCAGACGTGACTTCCTAGATGAACCAGGCGTCCTAACCCAGGCATATACTGGATCCTCTTTCTCTCTGGTTTCCAGGTACTCAGGAACTAGGCTATCTGGCAGAAAACTGTAGCAACAAAAAGCAGTCCTTGGCTTGATTCTGGCAAAGTCTGAATGGGCCAAAAGCCAAAAGGAAAAGGTGAATTATCTGAATGACAGTCTTCAGATCCTAACTAACCCTTTGGGAAAACTTCTCATTTCTTATTCATAATAGAATAAGATGTCCAGCAGTTACATGTGTGAGAAGATTATCTGAGGAGCTCTGTCAGCCCCTAAACCAAATGTAGGGCTTGAGGCCAATGCCCTTTGGTTAGAAAGAACCATACTGCCCAGCTGGCTAGAGACCGCCCAGACGGCTCAATCCCTTGTTGTTGTAAGCAGCAAAGTGTGGGCAGAAGTGGATGATGAAGAGGGAAGAAAACATAAGACAGGGTCTGTCCCTGGCAAACTAAGAACCTGAATTTCAGACCTCTCTGAAATAGATATGACCACTACTCCTAGTGCAGGGACCAATCAGCAACCTATTAACATACCTGGAAATGAGATAGATTGCCGCTTAACTGTGTCGGGAAAGCAGATGGATTGCTTCACCACCAGGGGGCAATCTCTCACCAGGAGCCCATTCAAGCATGGCCACCGCCCCATTTGTGATCTTGTCTGTGCCCAAGTAATCAAATGAATGCAACCATTCACAGTACTTACAGTTAGGGTCATTTAACTATTTAATTGCTTTTTGAGATTATTGCTGCAATTAGGAAGGGAGGGTTGAGATGAGAAGGGGGAGGTTGGAGAAGATAAGAGATTTAAAATAAGCAAGTACCATTTTCCAAGTATAAAACTCGTAATATTAAAAGTGACACAGCAGTGTTTCACATGACTACTTAAGTCTAATGCAGAAATAAGACAGTACAGCTTTTGCAGAGGCCGATGTGACATCTGCATGCGACATGATACTATTAAGACTCTCTACCCACCTCTGCCACAGACTAGTTGCTATATGCACACATACACAAAAATACAAAATGAAAAGCCTACACAAGTGTTAAGTCAAACTAAGGCTCTTAATTGTAAATTAAAGTGGCTACAGTAGGTCCCTTTGAAAAACACCATCTCCCCTGGCACCAATGTTGTCACAGCACAGAGGAAGCGAGTGGCTCAGGGGTCTGGTTCTGGGGAGACACTCCGTAGGGGACATGCTTCTCCATCTTGGCAGCTGGCAAGCCACAGTGGTGTCTGTCTGCTGGGTGGTTCTGGCTTCCTGGACCTCCTCCAACATAATGCACTGACCACACAGCTTTGACTACAACTACTCTCAAAGAGGTACCTGCCAGGTCTCCCTCTGACACACACACACACACAAACATTGCCCACTCTTGGAACCCACAATGCAATGTGGAGCAAACAGGAAGAACACACACACACATAAATGCCACACCAGCCCTAAATGGCGTGGCCACCTAGTCACAGTTGTTGGGTAAGTAGTACAGTGCTCAAGAACACTTTAGACTAATGTGCTAAGGAGCTTGAGGAAAAGTCTGGTAGTCATGGCTCTCCCAGCCAGCATTCCCAGTGGGGAAAACTAGAAGATACCAGCCTGGAGAGGCTGAATATTCAGGAGTCCCTGAGATGGGGAATGGAACAGAGGAAAGTGTCTCCTGACCTGTCCTAAGTACTCCCCTACCCAAATAGAAACCTCAAAGACTGATCCAAATTTCCCCTAAGGCCTGGGCCAGGAGTGCTCACTGCTCACTGCTGAGGAGGAAGGCACATGGTATGATGTCATTAGAGCAGGATAGTGGCTCAGCCTAGGGGAGAGTTCTCTACAGGGGAAAGAGGGCAGGAGGTAGCGCAGGGTCTGGTCCTGTCCCTGCACCACCCTGAGCAGCTCGTCTTAGGATTATAGGCCCTGGGCCATAAGGCTGCTCGCCATTCTGCTTTCCTGTTTCTCTCCCTATGCTGCCACGGCTGAGAAATGTCCAGCACCTGAGGCAAAACTGCCATAGTACCTTAGAAAGCTGAATCAAGGGGGAAGAGGCAGAAGAACACACTAATAGAGAAAATTTTCCTTGCAATAGGTGCTCTTTCACACCCACCTAGGGTAAGTCAAGGCAACTTGTGAAGGTGCTTTGAGCTGTTCCTTCAAGCAAACATATTTTCATTACATGATGGCTTATCGCAAGGGTGCAGGGAAGGACCACCACCAACTCTGGTGACAAATTTGAATCTGGATGCTCATCCTATTCAGATAGTCAGGAAATCTGAATATCTGAATGACAGCCTTCAGATCCTAACTAATATGAATGGTTTTGGAGGACCATTCAGAAAAGCATAGCAAAAGGCCTGGTTTCTGCTCACCACCAGTCCAGGATAGAGCTCAGGTGTGCTTTGACTACCAGCAATTCCAGGAAGCAGCAACCATGGCCAAAAGCTCCTAGAATATTTGGAAACTGTGTTTTCTTCCTAGTCCATGGTAACAAGAACAAGTCAATGGGAGCATCGTTTTAAACAAGAATCTCCAAAAATGGTGGCAACCAAGTGTCAGATGGGGACTGCAGACACAGAAAAGACCACCCCAAACCCTGCCTGAGAGGATTAGGCAAGTAAGCTAGAATAGCCCTGTCCTGCGTATTAGGGAGCAGCAGCCTGGCTGATCTGTGTCCTGGAAAAACAAAATGAGTTGCAACAGAAGTGATTCTAAGATAGACAACGAACCTACTCGTAAGACAGAGAGGGTGGGGGCATGATGGCTCACACCTGTAATCCCAGCACTTTGGGAGACCAAGGCAGGTGGATCACCTGAGATCAGGAGTTTGAGACCAGCCTGGTGAAACTCCGTCTCTACTAAAAATACAAAAAATTAGCTGGGCGTGGTGGCAGGCGCTTGTAATCCCAGCTACTCGAGAGGCTGAGGCAGAAGAATCGCTTGAACCTGGGGGGTGGAGGTTGCAGTGAACCGAGATCATGCCACTGCATTCCAGCCTGGGCAAAAGAGCAAAACTCCGTCTCAAAAAAAAGGGTGGGTTGGGGGGCTGAAAAAGCCGCCTGCTTAGAGTACACCTCACAACCAGCTGGGGAAACATCTGTTACGTAAACGCCTCCAGCCTAAGAAAGAAACTCTAGCTATCTCATAAACTGCACCCCAGCTTCTCTACAGAATCAGGACAGGTCACAGCTGCCACACAATGTTTAAGTGAAGTTGAAAGCTAGAGAGTTTAGAAAAGGAAATGGTTAGAACAATTCCTAGGGTAACATTTATAACAAGGGCAAAATCATTATATAATGGAATCCTCTGGGGTCTTCAAATTAAAAACCACAAAAGGATGACAAGAGGAGGAACAAGAATCCTGAGGCTCAAGCTATCTCATAGTCTATCTTGAGTTGTGCTCTATGGAGCCAGACCAGATGTCAAAGTTGTGTATGGACTGTTCCATACCCCAAGAACCTTCTGAAGGCTGGAAGCCCCTTGGGACTAGAAAGGGTCCAAGCTCAGTGGGGTTTTGGAGAACCATTCATCTGGCTGCCCTGGGTGACAGTGTCTGTGCTGTACAAGCTGTCCAAGAAGACCGAGGACAATTCTGCAACCATATTCCTGTCCACAGTTGTCTGGGCCATGCCGTAGATGGCACCCTACAAATCCAAACAAAGAGACATTATTAGTGAGGCTGGATCCAGGAGCAAGAATAAAACTGCAGTGAGGAGCCCCTTCTCCCTGAGTCCTAGCTTCGCATGTGCGCTGCCCCACCCTTTCCACCTCAGGCATCCCATCATTCTATCAGAAATAGCAAACTTTCACAGGGACTTTCCAGTTGGCCTTTCTGCATAAAGGAGCTAGCCTAAGAGATTTACTGTAGAAAATTCCAGAGAAAACATGTTTACTACCTTTCCTGTGTCAAAATTTTCTTTTCAAATGGATGCTACTACCAGGTGCTTTTGTACAGCAGTCTCTAACTTACAAGGTGCTTTATAGTGTATCTCATTTGAGACTTCAGCAACCCTAAGGGTGGGTGACACAGAGATCATCAGCTCCAGACAACAAGTGAAAAATGTCTGTGGCAAAGGGGCAGGGGCAGGAACAGACTCCAGGTCATTTGATTCTTTCAAACTCTCCACCAACACCTAAATTTCCAAGGGAAGAAAAAAAACACCAAGTGTCCCTACCATTCCTGTGGTCTTCGCTTTAGGATTCTTCATGATTTGAGTGACGGATTCTCGGATGTCCTTCAGGAATTGTATAGCTACTCGTTTCCGGGCGTGTACTAACGTGATGCAGAAATGAATACTAGGAAAGACACAGAGAGAGATGAACCTTGAAGAAAGAAAAAGTGTTCTAAAATAATGCAGCCCCAAATACGGGAATCTCCTGGTGGCCCTTTCACATTATTTCTGGCAAGTGTAGTCATCCAAATTGATCCCCCTCCTGGGAATCCCAGCTCTCCCATGCTTGTGCCGTCAGCCGTGGGCTGGCCTCAGAGCTTCTCAGCATGACCGACAACCATGCTAAGAGGAAGAACAGGGTTGGCTGCTTTGTCCCATCCATCCCCTCACGAACTCCACCACCATTCCTTCAACCACGTCACCATCAATGGGATACTTTCATCTTAGATAATCAGCCCCCATGTGCTCTCATGGGACAGGGCCACATGGCTGGGTTCTTAAAGGACTTCAGGGCACAGAAGAAATTCTACCTTGCCCTGAAGGAATTTAATGGGGTCAGTGGAATTGTGGAAAGGGAAAAAGATGGTCCAGATGGGACTGGCAATGCACCAAGGTGTAGAAGGCTAAGCTGTACACAGAGGGTATAAACAGACCTACTCAGCTGGAGTGGTGTTTTACTCAAAGGAATCATGGAAGATTAGGTTAGAAAAGTCTACTAAAGATGGCAGTAGCAGGCCTGAATAATTACAAACCTCCCAGAAGGTTTTGAACTAGATTGGCCAGATAACGAGTATTTTATACGAGCAATTTGATGCTGTGTACAAGATGGATTGGACAGTATAGAGGCTAGAGAGTGGGAGAAAAACCTCATGACCAACCACTGGTCTAGGGAGGCTGTGCCCTAATTCTGCCAGAGCTTAAAGCAAATGGCATTGTTCTTTATAATTCCAGGTGGCAAGACAGAAATTCTTTGGATACTACAGTCACTTCTAAAGTACTGGCCTCTAACAGTCAAACTCTATACTCAGGTTACCTTACCACCCAAGTTCTTCCACAGTCATGGAGCAAAATAAGGGCAAGAGGCTTCTTCAAGCTTACCTGGGTGGGAACTGCAGCTGGTTTAGGTTCCACCCCTTAGCAGTCATCAGGTTTGATAATCGGTAGATGTCAAAATCATGGGATCCCAGAGCAATGACTGACAATTGGGGATTCCCAAAAACAAAGATGCCTTTGATATTTTCCAGTCTTAAAACAAACAAACAAAAAAAAAATGAAGAAAAAAGGAAGAAAAAGGAAATTTGGTCACATATAGTCTTCTAGTCACTATCTGTTTAATCATTCGAAGTCTTCCTTATAATGAATGCAATCTAACTCTTTGGGCTTCAGTCTTATCTTCAAAAAGAAGAAGGCTAGACTGGGATTAGTGGTTCTTACTGAGATCAGAATCATAGCTGGAACAACAGAAATACTCCAAGGCCCAAACCCCATCTAGATCTAATGACTCTGAATCACTGACTTCAAACCTTATACCCAACTCCCAATTATATTCCCCTACATGCTTCTGAGGCATAAAAGATGTACTAAAAAAATTTCTGGAAAAATAATCTGTCCATCTCCACAGTTCTAACAAGTTGTATGTAATCCCTAGAGCAACAAATGGCATAGCAAGTCTTAACAAAAGCAGAGCTTTATGAGGACTTATATACATATACCTATATAATTTTTATGTATTTGTTTGTTTGCTTATTTATTTGAGACAGCATCTCGCTCTATCACCCAGGCTGGAGTGCAGTGGTGTGATCACAGCTCACTGTAACCTCAAATTCCTGGGCTTCAAGCAGTCCTCTTGCCTTAAGCCTCCTGAGTAACTGAGACCAAAGGTACACACGACCACATGTGGCTAATTTTTAAATTTGTTGTAGGGACAGTGTCTCACTATGTTGCTTGGGTTGGTCTTTAACTCCTGGGCTCAAGCGATCCTCCTGCCTTGGCCTCCTGAAGCACTAGGATTACAGGCGTGAGCCACCATGCCTGGTCGAGAATCTTTTTCAAATGAGAAATGCCTGCTGGCAGCTTTCCTTACCCCTCAAGATATTAAAACAGCCTCCCAATCCAAGTGACACATAGAGAGACAGGCAGGTAAGATGTTAACAGATACATTAGACAAAGCATGTAGCCTGTTCTGGCCTTGGCTTAACCCAAGATTTCATTGCCCTCCTTTCCTCATTCCTTCTGGCCCATTTCCAAATATTTCTTATTCCAATGATTCTTAAAGTATGATTCCTGTGCAGTAGCATCAGTATCTCCAGAAATGGAAACCTTAGGTCCTATCCAGTTCTACTGAGTCAGAAACTCTAGGGATGGACCCAGCAATCTGTGTTTTAACAAGCTCTTCAGGTGATTAGGATGCATGCTCAAGTTTGGGAATCACTGTCCTAACCATTAAATTGTACATTAGGGTAAAAGCTGCCAGTTGTTAAGACATCCACAGAGATGAGACAACCTACAAATGAGGCCCCTGTCTCTAAAGACCCTCCAAAGGGAGCTTCTCCTCCCAGGCCAGCACCACACTCATAAGCTGCTGTCCTAAACCCTTTGTCCTGCAAGAGACAAGAGGTGGGCTAGGGCTGTGGATGCTTAGCCAGGCAGGTGCCTTGCACCTAGTAGGAAAAAAAGCAACAGACAAGGCAGAATCCCAGTCTTCCACACATACTCTGACTTGAGGAAGCGAGCAGTTTTGATGATCTGTTTGGTAGCTTCAACATAGCCGTTCTCACCGAAGTGCATCAAGGCAGCCCAACAAGCTGCGCTAATGCCACCGGGCCGAGAGCCTGCAATGGTTGGGGAAGCATAGATGCCACCCTGCCAATCTGTATCAACGAAGAACTGATAGTTCCTGTACTTCTTGTCACGATACAACACCACTGATGAGCCTTTTGGGGCGTAGCCATACTGTGGAAGAAGCAGCAGACGAGACAAGTAAGAGTATAGTTCTGTCTGGCAGACCTTGTCCCAGAGCTCTCAGCATGCAAAGGAAATCCTATTTATTTGACAGTTTCTCTGTAATGTTTCCCATTCCCATTAAGGATTCAAACTTAAAATGTTAAAAGGTAGAAGGAATTTAAGGGATGGAGTTTAAATTCTCTATGTTAGGAATGAGGAATCTGAGACCCAGGGAAGAACAGTGCCCAGTTAATGTATTTCTCTTGCCCAGTATGTAGTTTTTCTTATTTAAAATATTTCTCTAGGAGCCATATGTCAGGATGGAAACAAGGATAAGTTTCCAATGGAAGCCAGGAAAGGATGGAATTTGTCACTTTGAGTTAAAATCACCAACTGACCCCCTTCCCATCTTTTTTGCTTAGTATTACTAAGACTATTATGCATAAAGAATATAATGGTGCTCAGATCTAAAAGCTACTTAATACAGCTTTAAAATTAACCACGTAACTGGTTTCCTTATAGAACATCTGCCCCCCTAATTAACTCTTACTAAAACTAACGTGGAACTAATTTCATTACCTGAACCATCCAGAAATGGATGGTTATGGGAAAAGGACACAGGAGCTATCTGGGTGGTAAGGAAGAAACAGATGCTGACTGAAAATCTGCTGCAGATCATATAGATTTTAAAAAACAAGTCTTTAATACACTTGAGTTTAAAACAAGCTTTGCAAATGCAATCAAAACAAGGTACACATTCCCGAGACTATTAATACTTCTTCCACATCTGGATTTATACTCAGAAGCGTTATCAACTGATCTAGACTCTGTCTCAGTCCACCAAGGATGGCCGGCATGGCCGATTCAAATGCTGAATGTTCCTGAGCACACAGGTTCTTCCCCATTTCCCAAAGGACTCTTCCATCAACATTCTCCTGTCACTTAGGCTCAGGAGCCCAGCTGCACAGGCACTGTAATGTTATCTACCAGCGTGTAAAGTCCACGATCAACCCTCACACCACCCTAACCTCCACCTCAAATCACCTCAAGGCTTCAGGGAAGTGCCACTATACTAGCATGCTCTAGCTACACACAGTCAATGGATACAGAAATTCTCTTAGCCAATTTGAGATAAGGGTAATAGGTTCCTTTTCACTGCTTGTCAATTCTACCACTATACCCCATCACCTGAACCAGCTAACCTGGTGATGGCAAGGAGAGAGTGTAAAACAAGCGTCTGATGAGAATTCTATAGATAGTTTTATACTTCGGGGAAGCTACCAATTTATTTTATCAACAATAGTCAAAATAATCAACTGGTAACACTTGATCTCCTCTTGCTCACCTTATGGGTATCAGCTGAAATGCTGGTCACACCTTTCACCCGGAAATCAAATGGGTACTCCAGTGGGTATCCTGCTTTCTCCATAAAGACGATGAGGAAGCCTCCCAGACAAGCATCGACATGAAGGGGTATGTTGTATTTGACAGCCAGCTTGTTCCAAAAAACAAAGAACATAAGAGAATTTCCTTTATAGCCCTATAATAAAAACTGCAAGACAGGGGTGGAAATATGGGCTATAAAAACAAGGCTATTTTGTATTATGCCTCATATGCTTTTTTAAAAAATTGCTATTTTTAACATTCCTGGCAAAATTTATCTTTCAAATGTATTTGCCCTTCAAAATAATTCAGCTGAAATATGGTATCTATTTTATATTTAAATAAGCATGACCTCAAACTCCCCGCAAAGTCAGAAAGGAAATGAGTAGAGCTCTGACCTAGGCTGTCTCTTGCGCAGGGGAAAGGTCCTGCTTCAGTCACTACAGGATGAGGACAGAGGAAGAGGGAGGTGCTGAGGGGCAGCATGTGGATTGCCACCCTCTGGTGGGCACAAACCTACATGCAGATTATTTCCAGAACTCAATCTTACAGGCAAGACTTGGATTTCAGAATATCCAGATTAAAGAACTATCTTACCCCACAGCAGAGACTAGCAACTTTCAGAGGCTTCAAACAGAGCTTCAGGGCTTTCCCTAGGGCTGATGAGAGCTACTCATCCCTACTGTGGTCAAAACTAAAATAAAAATCGCTTCTTTTTGCCAAGTACTGCTCCATTAGGCTTTGTTTTAAAATATCCATTGCCAGCCACAGCAGCCCATTTCTCCCATATACCTTGGCCACTTCAGGGACAGGATCCATTATACCATGAGGAAACTGTGGGGTAGAACAAACGAGCATGGCAGTGTTCCTGGAGATGGCTCTTTTCATTGCCTAGGGATTTAAGGTTTAATGGAAAATGAGAATCTATGTCGCAATTACTCTTCTCTTCTGCTGCCAATAGCAATCTGGGCTGCTAGCTGAGAGTTCCAGTTCCACTAGCATCCCCTCCACCACTCCAACTAGGAGCAGACTACATCCCACTATGGTGACAGGACACAGGCGAGTCCAGGTAGGCCCATTCAGGGAACAGTCTGAGAGCACAAAATAAGAATACAATTGCTGTGGGGGCAAACACAATATTGAGCTAAGAGGCAAGAGCCAAATGTGAGTCCAAGCCCCACAGCCTACCAGCAGTGAAACCCTGAGTACACCACTTCAGTCTGTTCCTTATCTGTGAACTGCAATAACAGCTTGATCAACCTCTCTGGAATGTCGTAAAGCTCAAATGGGATTCTGACAGAGCTCTCAAACTAGAAAGTTCCGCTACACAAACGTGAGGCATAACAATAATCACTTTTATAATGACAATGGTATTATTTAAGCCAACCAAAACCACAGTGAGACTTTTTGTTTTGCTTTGAGACAGGGTCTCACTCTGTCACCCAAGCTGGAGTGCAGTGGTTGTAAATATAGCTCACTGCAGCCTCAATCTCCTGGGGGTCAAGTGATCCTCCCACCCTAGCCTCCCGAGTAGCTAGGACTATAGGTGCATGCCACCACATCCAGCTAATTTTTTAAATTTTTTGTAGAGATGGGGTCTCATTATGTTGCTCAGACTGGTCTCGAACTCCTGGGCTCAAGGGTTTCACTAATCCTCCCTCCTCAGTTTCCCAAAGTGCTGGGATTACAGATGTGAGCCGCTGTGCTTGGGCCACAGTAAGAGTCTTAGGGGAAGGGAGCCCATGCTCACTTTACAAATAGAGAAAAGAAAGGAAGAGTGGTGGTGCTGACAGCAAAACCCATGGTGTCTTTAAAGTCTCAAGTTAGTGACTAGATCACCCCTCTTTCAGAATTCATGAACCTATGAAATGAAAAGACTGAAGCTGCAGTCAATCACCACTATCAGTGCAGTTTGATATTCTCGCTGCTACAATCAAAGGCAGGCAGAGCCCGTCTGAGTGTGACTGGAAATGGTTAGTTAGCAAGAGCCCCTTCTGCTGTCAGAGTCCAGCATAGACCGTGGGCCCTCCAGAGGGACTCACCCGCACATCCACCTCCATCATCTTCGTCAGTGGGACCCGCACAAGCTTCATCCCAAAATAGCTGGCTGCCTTGTTAAATGCAGCATGGGCACTTTGGGGAGCCACACTAGATGACAGGGAAGAGGAGAATAATGAAATTCAGACCAAAATAATTTAAAAAGCATTACCAGCTAATTAAATTACTGGGAGTAAATTCTGATTATTTTTCCCCATATTAAGTATTTATACTGCTTTACTTTTCAAGTACACACAAAAAGAGGCCAATTGATTTTCTGTAGAAACTTCCCTCCTATTCAGGAAATTATTCTGGCAATAGGAAGAGGACTCAGAAGTGATCCCACAGTGAGGGATCCGAAGCCTAAAACAGGGCTGGCAGGCGGAAAGCTGGGAGACAGACTTGGATGACAGCAACATAAGGTAGAGCTGGCTAACGGCTGCCTATCAAAGACAGGCACTCTGTGAGAATGAGAAGCAGGCTTCCCAGCACAACCCATGTTCAAGCAGAAATATTCACAGATCCTTCAAGCATCAGCTCAGTGGCCCCTTGAAAAACCACAAACCTGAAGACACTAAAACCCCCATTTCTCCCACACATTTGGAAATAGTATTTCAAATAGTGCTGAAAGAGGAAATGAGGTCACAGGTAAGTATTGGCTTTAGACTTCCCTCAACTATTCCATTCATACAACAAATCTGTGCCTTTTAAGGAGAAAAATCTCTACTGCTAAAGAACTACCAAGCACCTAAGAGTGACGTATGAAGAAAGAATGGCAGCCTGGTTTATTCTCTGATGCTAAGTATGAATCACAGCATGAGACCATATGCAATAAATCCCCTCTGTCACTGACACTTGTGGTGAAAATATTAAGATGTAGGATAAACATACTGTACAAAGGGATGGACAGTCTAGGGAAAACAATGTAACCAAACATGAAATTTATGTCCAAGGAAGGCAATGTGGGTAAATCTCAATAAGATATTTTTATTCTTCCTCCCAGAAAACAGCCCTCACACTAAAATTTTCCCAGAGAGTACCCTGGAGGCAGCCTATAATATTAAGTAATTTTCTAAAATAAGTAGAACTAAGGTACCTAGAGAGCTTTCTTTAGGCTCCAAATAATTTACAAATATCACAGGATTCAAAGATGTAGTCTTCAAACTCACTTTTTGGAAAAAGGATCTCATTTTTGCTTGTAGTATATACTATGTGTGATGAGGGGAGGAGAATGATCTTTAAAAATAACTGGCTGATCCATTTAGAATTTTACTGAACGTAAAAGGATAAGGGCAGAGGAGCTAGGATAGGGCAAAAGGGGACCAGAATTACCAGAGGAAGAGAAGCAGCAGGAAAATAGACTATCATCTGGCTCTGTTTCATATAGTAGTATTCCAACAGACAAATCCAAAAGGGGACAAACAGCCACACATACATACATTTCTGGTGTTTTGATCCCCTTCTCCAAGGCCAGGTCCCGATATGCTTTGCAGGCCATCAATATGCTTTCTGTCCCCCCAGAAGTCACCTATAATAAAGAAAAGATGCCATCTGCTGGGGGAGAGTCAAGGATGCCCTGATTCTTCATGCTCTGATCTTGACAATGTTTGATATAGAAATAGAGAAGGTCTTGGATGCATGCTACAAGGCAGACACTGCAAGGCAGTCTTCCAGAATGAAAATTTGGCTTTACTGGCTAAGCCTAATTTTGGTTCAGAAGAATGAAAGCTACTAAATAATGGGCAGAAACTCAGCACTGTCTAGACAAATGCACATCTGCCCAGATTCCACGTATTCACAATCCATTTACATTTCTGTATTAATTTTTCCATTTTCAGATAAGATAGGGCATTTTATGCCATTGAAAAATATCAGAATTATTTTATTTAAATCTTCAATGCCTGTTAAAGAATGTGAAATTGTGATGTTACAATTTTAGTAAATTGTGCAATACGCTAAAAAGAGACATTCAGATTTTCCAAAGTAAACTGGTGGTTTTGACAAGTTTGAAAGAGAGAGAATAGCAGAAGTTTCTACTTGATAGAAGTTTGTGGCCTTATTTGAAATAAAACAAAAATCCTAATTATGTTAAAATAAAGTAAAACGTTTTCCTAAAGGTTGGCCTAGCCCCTCTGATAAACAAACTTCTTACCAGAGTTGAAACAAAAATACGTAGGCATCTTTTTATTCATCTTATTTTCCTCACTGGACTACAGATTCATGACAGTAGGGACCAATCTGTTTATGACAACATTCCTAGCACCTGGCACGGACGCTGACACCAAACAGACCCTCAATCCATTTTTTTTCTTTTTGAGACAGAGTCTCACTCTGTTGCCCAGGCTGGAATGCCATGGCGTGATATCAGCTCACTGCAGCCTTAGCCTCCTGGGTTCAAGCGATTCTCCTGCCACAGTTACCCGAGTAACTGGGATTACAGGCACCCACCACCACGTCTGGGTAATTTTTGTATTTTTAGTAGAGACAGGGTTTCACCATGTTGGCCAGGCCGGTTCTGAGCTCCTGACCTCAAGTGAGCTGCCGACCTCGGCCTCCCAAAGAGCTGAGATTACACGTGTGAGTTACTGTGCCTGGCCTCCATACTTCTTAATGCCTGACCTGACTCTCAGTAAACCCTGACCAACACAGGCATGTCACAGCCACCTGGCTATTTTTTTAAAAATAATATATGAGAATGAATCACTCCAAAACAAAGAGCCACAACACTAAACTAGTTGGACAACTTCTTAGACTTAATATCTCTGAAGATTCATATAATCTTTGAAAGGTTTTTTCAATTTACAGGTGAAAAAACTGAGCCCTTGAGAAATTAAAGTCTTCACTCAATGTCATACATTAGCATTTGTTGATAAGAAGTAAAACTTTCTACATTTTGATATTCAGTGTAGCTTAATACAAGATGGAATCAGAGAAAGTGACCACTGAACTTTCCTAAATAATATCCACATATAGGACAAAAATACCATTGGATACAAAATCCCTGTGGCCAGGAGTTATATAGAAGATTAGCTGAGAAAAGTTAAGTCATTTTTTGACTCAGGAAGTCTTTATGAAACATGTGATGATCACCACAAAATAATGCACTGAACTTGGGCACGGGACACTTGCTTGTAGGTCTCTGCATTTCTGTGTTGCAGAAGACTAAGTGCTTACAGTTGAGGTCAGCTCTGCAAATCAGCAGCATGTCCTGTGGTTTAGCATAAAACCTCAGAAGGTCACGCAAGGAGCCAGGCCAGCTGTGAAGAAAGCTGGGAAGGGACCAGCGAAGTCCAAGTCTCCAGTGCGTCAATCTCTTCCGAAGGTCCAGTAATGACCTCAGCAAAAACATTTCCAAATTCCTAGTCACCTGCTTTATGTGGCCTATTTCTAGTCCAATAACTAGTCAAAACATTATTATTTGTTATGCAAACACCAGTGTACTTTTGACTGCAAAAGTAGGAATATCTAAATGCTACTTTTTTCTGTTTTATTTGAGACAGAGTCTCACTCCTTCACCCAGACTGGAGTGTCATAGTGTGATCTCGGCTCACTTCAATCTCCACCTCCCAGGCCCAAGAGATTCTCCCACCTCAGCCCCCCGGAGTAGCTGGGACTACAGGTAAACACCACCATGCCTGGCTAACTTTTATATTTTTTGCAGAGACAGGGTTTCAGCAAGTTGCCCAGGCTGGTCTCGAATTCCTGGGTTTAGGTGATTCACTCGCCTCAGCCTTCCACAGTGCTGTAACTACAGGTGTGAGTCATTGTGCCTGGCCCTAAATTCTACTTTTAAGTTTTACTTCTGATTCTGTGTTTTAAAATTGTATTACTGTTCCACTTCTTTTTTTTTTAATTATTGTTTCATTTTCAATCCTAAGCAAGACAAATTCCACTTCTTTCTACCTTTTATACCCAAAGAAAAAACAGAAATTTAACTGTGAAGTAAGAAAACGGAGGCCTCAGTAACTACTTGTTATGTTATTCAACTTCTTTCAACATGTATAAAAACGCTCACTTTAACATACAGTATGTATTTCAGAAAACAAGAAACACCATCTACTTGGAAAATTTTCTCTTGGATTCTGTTTGGATCTGATGACATTAGCACAAGACAAGAAGAATGTTTCACATGGTAACCTAATTTCTTTCAGTATGTGAAGTTATCTCTATCATTGTGACTGAGACAAACACAGTTAATAGAAGGAAAGATACTTTAAGGTTGAAGAACAAAGAATGAGAAGAGTTTACAACTCTCAGCTAGGAATAGCCTAAAAACTGCCCAGTCATTTGGCCTTGTCTTCTTGCTTCCCACTCTGAACACTGAATTCTTTCTACAGCAAAAGCAGCTCATCCAGAGAGAGAAATAAGAAGCTAAGGGAGGAGTGGGGGAGACAAAGCAGGAGAGGGAAAAAGACAATACCAATGCTGATTAGTTATCTTATAAAAGTCTAAATATTAGAAGAGCCTGGGAATCACGCCATCCTTCTCCTGATCCCTGACACATGTGCTGAAGAAGGTCATAATAACAGAGACATGGTTTAATTGCAGCAATACAAAAGAAAACCTTAGGCCTGGACTTCTGGAGTAAGATGGGAATTTAAAAAAAAAAAAGGTGGTGGCAGTGGGAGAGAAGAGTCAAAACCTACAACCACCACCAAACAAGGAAAGAGAAATAATCTAATGCAATAAACTTCAAATATTGGGAAAAAGAAAAGAAAGAGAAAGAGAAAGGAGGGGAGGGAAGGGGAGGGGGAAAAAAGAAAGAAAGAAGAGAGAGAGCGAGAGGGAGGGGGGGCAGCAGAAAGCAGAAGTAAACAAAACACTAGTTTCTAATCAGCCCCTGAAACTGTACTGCAAAGTCAGCAAAATCCTGAGAATTTCCCTTTAGACCCCCAAATATGCAGAGAGGTAAGCTGAGGGGGTTTCCTTATCTTCTTCCTCTTCTCATGAGTGTGTGGTAAACATGGCTGCTAGGGAGAAATGAGCAAAATGGGAGAGAGAACATCAGGACTGGCTCTTTGGAGTGAAGACTTAAGTGAATTAAATAAATAATCAGAGCTCAAAGAGTATTATCTCTTCCAAATAAGAGAGTGAACTCTGATAGGTAATTTTTAAGAGAATCTCAGAACAGACCCAGATATTCTCTTACAGATAGAACAAAGCTTTGGCTGACTTTGTCCCCAACCAAACGGTCTCAGACAAGAAGCGCCCACAGTGCATAAGAACAAACAAGGTCTGGAGAATGCCACCCCAGGATGAGAGAAAATGGCAAGGCAACTATGCAAACATACTGAAAGGCAAGGGAAAAGGTAGCACGTAGCATGCAAAATAAAAGCCCGCCTCAGAAGAAAACAAGCTAAGAGACAGAAGGAAATTCCTTACAACTCTCTCACTATAGGAAAATATCATGAGAACATGAATTTAAGAAAACAAAGAGTTCAAAGCCTAGACTATGAAACAACAGAATGAGCTACAGATCTAAAAAAAAATAAAAAAATAAAAAAAAATAAAAAAAAAAAGCCAGTAGCATCCACACAGCACAGAACTAATAAAAACATTAGGAATAGCGAGAAAAAAAATAAACATTGCCGAGAATAAAAATGCTGACTTGAAGGAAAAAGTCTGAGATAAGTTTAGTGAACCCAGATTAAAAAGATAGAGAGACTGAAAGATCAGTGCCACTCCACACATGGAGAACTGTGTTCAGTCAGGCCAGAGACAACGGAAAGGCATTCAGAGGATGACTGATGGCTAGAGAGCTGTAAAAGCATAGGAGCAGCAGAGTTACCCAGAAAAATTCGGGGAAGAGAAGATTCAGGGAGAAAGGGGCTTTCAAATATACAAAGCTCTGTCACAAGGAAAAAACAGTTACAGAACTTCTATTTTCAGCAATAAATAGATTATATACCTTGAGCAACCCTCCTAACTGAAATAACTAAAAAACTTGATGAAACATCAAAAAAAAAAAAAAAATTTAAACCCATCATTAAGCTAACATAAAGAAACTTACGAAACCCCCAAACAAAGCAAAATCAAGAATCCTGCAAGATAAGAGAACACCAAAACTAGCTTTCACCCTGAGGGTGGCAGCAACCCCTATAGACTTCAAAAGCCTACACTGACAGGTGAGCAAAGGATGGACCAGAAAATACATTTAGAGACTGCCCAAGGTAAGGAGTCCAACAGGAGATGGCTGGAAAAAAACAGACACTTAGTGTACAAGAAATAAATCCCACTAATGCAAAAGAGGAAAGAAAAGAAAAACTGTTTTCTCAACCCTGATGTTCAAGTAAAGAAAAATAAGAATCTTTCAAGAATGTGAAACAACGAAGTCTTCATGTGAGTCTGTGGTCAGAATTCACACTACCTCTGTGGAACAAAATGACAAGCTGAGAATTTGGCTTAATTTGGTTCCAGTGTGGTGGCAATCCCCCGCAACTCACAAAAGTATGACAAATCTTCTCTGGAAGAAGAGAACTTCCAGGCTTAACTTCAATCTAGGCCTCAAAGAATCCCTAGGTTCCCAGAAAAATAAGTGGCTCATATTAAAACAATCACAAATATAAGGAAACAAGGAACCATGACTGAAGCCAGCAGAACCAGACAGGTAAGGCTCATGGATGTTGGAATTATCAGACACAGAGGACAAAATATTTATGTGTAATATGTTTAAGTAAACAAAATTTAAGCCAAGGAAAGGAACTATAAAAAAACAACCAAGCAGATTTAAAAAAAAAAAAAAAAAAGACGGCCAAGTGTGGTGGCTCACACCTGTAATCCCGGCACTTTGAAAGCCAAGGCAGGCAGATCACTTGAAGTCAGAGTTAAAACCAGCCTGAGCAACATGGTGAAACCCTGTCTCTAACAAAAATACAAACATTAGCGAGGCGTGGTGGTGCATGCCTGCAGTCTCAGCTACTCTGGGGGGCTGAGGTGGGAGGATCACTTGAGCCCAGCGAGGTCAAGGCTGCAGTGAGCTAAGATCACACCACTGCACCCTGGCCTGGGTGACAGAGTGGGACCCTGTCTCAAAAAATAAAATAAAATAAAACAAAATAAAAGGAGAACTACAAAACAGAATTCTTAAGAATGAAATTATAGTAAATAAAATTTAAAAGCCCAATGGGCTTCTACTTATCATCAGGCTCCAACAATTTTCAATTTACAGCCAATCTTTCATCTACCCCCACCTGCCCCAGCCACTGTTGCTATTGAGACTATCAGTTATGCCTCTGTAGGTTATCTATGTTCTCTGGCTGCTCTCAAACGCCAATTAGATGTGTGTTAGCCTTCTCATTCTATCCTTTGCATCTCTTAACATTTCTTTCATACTTTCTATTTCTTTGTCTCTCTGGACTGCACTCTGGTTAATTTTTTTTTTTTTTTTTTTTGCATCTTATTCTATAAATGTAACTTTGGAACTATGTACTTATTTCACCTAGTTTTAAATGAACCAGGGCTCCTTGGACAAATGGCTGACTGTAGGCCTGGAGCAGGAAATGGGCAGTGAACATGGAATATTTTGTCAAAAAAAAAAAAAAGGAAAGAAAGAGAAAAGGCTTTCAAAGATTACTTGGGTCATGCAAATGGACCTAGGAGCCAATATGAAGATGTTCTCACCAGCCGAAGATGGATGAAGTAATTTGAGCATCAATCTGAATAACAGCTACAATGGACTACAAGCACACACAGCATTCCACAATTTATCCATCTGTGTACTGTGTATAGGCATTTGAATTATTTCCAGTTTTGAGCTATCATGAATAACATTGCTATGAATATATATATATATATATATATATATATATATATATTTATGTTTGTGTCTGTGAGACAGAGTCTCACCACGTCGCTCAGGCTGGAGTGCAATGGCCCAATCTCAGTTCACTAAAACCTCTGCCTCCCGGGTTCAAGCAATTCTCCTGCCTCAGCCTCCTAAGTAGCTGAGACTACAGGCACCCACCACCACGAACAGCTAACTTTTCTATTTTTAGTAGAGATGGGTTTTCACCATATTGGCCAGGCTAGTCTTGAACTCCTAACCTGTGATCCGCCGTCCGCCTGCCTTGGCCTCCCAAAGTGCTGGGATTACAGGCGTGAGCCACTGTGCCCGGCCCATTGCTATGAATATAAATGTCCATATACCCTGATATAAATGTGTACTAATTTTTCTAGATTATGTCCGGAGTAGCAGAATTTCTGGGTCATAAGATACATGTATCTTCAAATTTACCAGATAAGGCCAAACTGTTCTGTGGCTATTTACTCTGTGGCCTCTTATAAGTTCTTTAAGAGTCTAATGGCACAGGAGAATATATTGTGAGTACATTATAATCTTCCCTCTGAAAGTCACCCTGTTCACCTCAATACTCTAAGGAAAACTGCTATTATATTATAGGTGGTTCTGTTTTTTAACAGTTTCAGTATTTTGTTCTGAAAATGAATGCCAAGAATATCACTTTTATTACTACTGAATATCTGAACACGATGATTTTCATGGTGCTAACATATTAGAAAAACAAAACAAAAACAATGCTTCCCGGAGAAAAAAACAAAACAAAATTAAACTATTAGGTGTCCTTGTCTTCAAATGGTCCCTTCAGTAATTAAATCTGCAGTCTTTATAATGACTGCAAAAATGATGAGTATCTAATAGGATTCGCACCTCTCGGACACCATTACAGCATACTGAATTAAATCTATCTATCCTATATAACCTGAGGTTTAGTTTTTTCCAAAGACAACAGATCTAAACAGAAGTTTAGGAAAACTAACAACCAACTACTTGAAAGAACAGGCAAAACAAGGAATTCTCATGTGTTTCTTTAAATAGAATGATGTCTTCTTGCTTTTTTGATTCCTAACACCAACTAAATGAGGTTCAGTTTACAGCAAAATAATAAACTAAACTTTGGCTCAGGTAAAACCGGAAGTATAGTAAAAACACTGCTGGATGGCTCAACAAAAGTATACATAGATAAATAGGGGGATGGTAGGAGTGCGGGTGGGGGATAAGAGAAGACGGGGGTAGGGAGGGAAGTCGTGTAGAGAGCAGATATGGCAACATATTTACATTTAGTGAATCTAAGGTGTTCTTTAACCTATCCTAGCAATTGAATGTAGGTTCAAAGTTTTTCAAAATAAAAAGGTGAAGAGAAAAATACCTATAAGAATATATACCAAAATGTTGACATTCTCTGGGTTACAAAATTACAAGCAACATTTAAAACTGCAGTTAATTAGGCTCTCTCTATAATGATCAAATATTCCTTGAGTAGTAAGATGATCTTTCTACAATGATCAAATATTATTTGTATAGTAAAATATTTTTAATAAACTCCTCTATTTTCACCTAAAAAATAAGGCCATTGGATGCCACTTGCATATACTTACACATCCACATGAATCTGGTCCCCCATTGAACAGGGAGCAAGCTATCCTCACAACTTCAGCCTCTATCTTGCGTAATCCTGGGAAGATATCTGGATGCAGGGGGTTACTCCATGCAAAATCTCCATAAGCCTGCAAAGAAATGCAAGCAGATGTGAAATTAAACTATTACACTATACAGGACAAAGAATCACACACTAAAGAGTTTCTAAGTATTAGGCACAATGATAGGAACTGGAAAAAAAAGGTAAGATATATTCTTCAACCTAAAAAAGATCAAAACATAGTGGAGAAGACAAATATGTAAATTAATAATTTTACAATGTGGTAAGGAAAGAGGTATAAATATGGTTAAAAGAGCAGAGTATAACACCAAATAGACCCAGCAGGAAATCTTAGCTTTGCCTATCACTTTTAGCTGTGTAGGTCAAATAATCTAAGGTTGTTTCTTCATATGCAGAAGTTGTTACAGTAGCTAACTTCTAGCGTTCTGGCAATAATAACATAATGCTTGTGAAGCACTTAGTAGAGCATCTGGCAAAAAGCAGCTGTTATCGACTGCAATACCAGATTTGTGTGCAGAGTGTTAAAGGACCCCGAAGAGGGAACAACCAACATCCTGAGTGGTCTAGAGGTGTCCACTGAGTGGAACTTTGAGAGATGAGGAGAAATCATCATTTAGAACAAGAGGAATGGTGGAAGGGAAGGAAAACAACATGATGAGAGCATGACACATTCAGTAAAGAGAAAAGGCAGAATTAATGTTTATGTGGGAAATAAAGAGAAGTAGTTAAGAAAAAATATGTGGGAGTTGGCTCATGAAGAAACTTGTATTCTCTGCTGCATAAGAACCTGTTTCATCCTATAGATGATGGGAAGCTACTGAAAGATTTTAAGCACAGAAGATCAGAGCATTACACCAAGCTATGCAAAACCTATCATATTTATTTAGTAAAGTATAAGTAGTTTCATATTTATAATAAACACAAAGACTTTAAAGATCATCAGTACAACCCCAATTTTATATGATGAAGTGGACTTTCAAAAATAAATGTGAGGTGCTCCTTTGGCAGCACATATACTAAAACTGGAACGATACAGAGAAGATTCGCATGGCCCCTGTGCAAGGATAACACACAAATTTGTGAAGCGTTCCATATTAAAAATAAATAAATAAATAAATAAAAATAAATGTGAGGGCTGAGTGCAGCGGTTCACACCTGTAATCCCAACACTTTCAGAGGCCAAGGTAGGAGGGTTGCTTGAGGTCAAGAGTTCAAGACCAGCCTGGGCAATACAGTGAGACCCTCTCTCTACCAAAAAAAAAAATAAATACAAAAATTAGCTGGGCATAGTGGTGCACATCTGTAGTCCCAAGTACTCAAGAGGCTGAGGTGGGAGGATCACTCGAGCTCAAGAGGTCAAGGCTTCAAGGAAGTGAGCCATGATCACACCACTCTACTCCAGCCTGTGTGACAAGAGTGAGATTTTGACTCTAAAAAAATAAAATAAAAATAAATTTGATTAGAAATGAAAGAAGCTAACAACGAAAATTATTTGAAGTACATGTTAGATCACTGCTCATCTTGGGTCATATGATTTGAGAAATTATGAGAGAGTTTCCTTATCTCTTCTTACCAAACAAAATCTGTCTCACCATAAAAAATCTCATCTAACAGACCTACCTTCCCTAGTAATCTGCCTTCTATATAGGACATCTGCAAAGCCTGAAAACCTAAATAACATTTTACTATTTTACAGACTGAAGATGTCTTTGATAATATTATATAAATTTGCTTATGTCTGAGTGAAGAGAAACTTTCATGGTTTTATTGTAACAATAAGCTTTCCTTAAGTAATTTTTCTAATTACGAAAGTAAGGAGAAAAAAGGAGATCATGTAAACTGGCACAGATCTCACAGGCTTCCCTCAAGAACTGGATGCTCACCTTCACAAGGAGCTCAGTGAGCTTCTCCTCCCCACTGTACACAGTTCCAGAGGCTCTCCCCTCTTGCCAGAAGGCATCTGCAGAGAAACGTCAGATCACTGGGTCAGTAAGCAGGAATCTCTGGGAAGACAGGTTCTAATAAAGAACAGGAAGAAATCTCTCTGGGTACAAAAGAAAAAAAAGTTGAGTGGAAACCCAACAGCATTCTTATAGTATAATAGAAAAAAGTTCAATAAACAGCCCAATAAAGATAAAAAATAATTACTATCAACAATGTGAAAAAGACGTTAGTAGCATTTAGGTACAACAAAAACAGTCCAATAATAACATTTTCCTCATCTTCAACTGCCTTCTAACAGCAGAAACATTTTCCTTGGCCTATACTTATTTTTTATTCTCTGTAGGGCTTTGGAGTGAACTTTTTCGGCAATAGCTTCCTTCTTCTCTCCCTTCCTAACCAGTTCTAGGAATTCTGAGAACTGTCATGGGAAGAGTTGGCAGAAAAAGCAAGACGAGAAGTATGAAATTTCAGCACACTATCATCAGAGACAAAACGAGAAAACAAACCACAATGAGGTATAAACCATGAGCACCCTGGTCTCAGAGGCCACTCCCTTCAGCCAAACCTGGAAACCCACACAGAACTAGCTACCTGCTTCCAGCAGCACATGCTGTAGCATTCAAAATCAGGAACACAGTCAACATTGGGATAGACCTCCTTTATCCCAGTGTTGAAAGAAAAGTGAAGTTCCTGACTAGAATGTAAGATCTGACTTTCCACTTTCCTTTCTCCCCGGAAGACGTTCATTTTATCCATAGATCTGCTGATGTGGGTATCTCAGGTCCTTCTGCTACAATGCAGCTGTGCCCTACTGAAAGTGGGTAGTGAGAAAGCTATTACAGTAACACACTAACTAAAAACTGCGCCATAGACTCTCCAAAGCAAAGACCTTCAGCTTCTGAGAACAGAAAACTGAGTGGTAAATATACAGACAAACTCATTCTCACAGCAATCTGCCAAGCTCTGGCTTGCTGCCCATTTGACTTTCACTCTTTCCTTAGAGGACACTGCTCTGTACCATGCACATCTTCAGACCAGAGGTCACCAGCCTTTCAAAAATAAGTTACCTGGTTTCATTTCCTGTTCTTTTACTGATGCTAGAGAACACAGCAATGGACAGTGACTTAACCACTGAAGAAGGCAATATGGTGGTAGCAACCAGCTCTCATAATCATGGAAATCTTCAACACACAGGTTTTAGGGAGCTAACCCCTGTTTTATTCATCTACATCCTAGACTATATCAAATTTTGTACTATTCAATGTCAAGACCTCAACACATGTCACTTAGAAATTATAAAGGTATTTGTCAAGGCTGGGCACAGTGGCTCACACCTGTAATCCTAGCACTTTGGGAGGCCAAGGCAGGCAGATCACCTGAGTTCAGGAGTTCAAGACCAGCCTGGGCAACATGGAGAAACCCGATCTCTACTAATAACACAAAAAATTAGCTGGGTATGGTGGCGCACACCGGTAATCCCAGCTATGTGGGAGGCAGAAGCATAAGAATTGCTAAAGCCTGGGAGGCAGAGGTTGCCATGAGCCAAGATCGCACCACTGCATTCCAGCCTGGGTGACAGAGTGAGACTCTGCCTCAAAAAATTAAAATTAAGGGTATTTGTCAAAATACAACATGATATCCTGGATTGGCTCCTGGAATAGAAAAAAGAACAGTTTAAAACAAAACAAAACAAGAAATCCTGATGAACTAGCAACAGAATTTGTAGTGTAGTTAATAGCACTGTACCAATATTAATTCTTTAGTTTTGATAAACATACCATGGTTATAGAGGATGGTAACATCAGGAGAAGCTGAGTGAAGGGTATATGAAACTCTCTATTATCTTTGCTACTTTTCTATAAACTTATGTCAAACTAAAAAGCTTATTTTTTAAAAGTACTTGTAATATGATCTTAATCAGTAACAAACATGAATCTGTTTGAGTTAATAGCAATAATGGTTAACATTTACTGAACACTTACTACATGCCAGGCACTATAAAACATTTACACATGTATGATTTCATTTAACCTTTTCAGGTAAGTACTGTACTGATGTTACTATTCCCATTGTAGAGATACAGGAACTGTGACATACACAAGTTCACCAAAGGCATAAGTGGCAAACCAAGATTTGAATCCAGGCTGGTTCCTGGGTTACGCTCTTAAGCACCAAGCTATCTGGTGTATTATCTATCAGGTATGCTCATGCATATATGTGTATAAACACACACACAAACACTATTAGCATTCTCAGAAACAGATAGATATACAGATACAGATAGATGTAAGCCTATATAGACAGATCTACCTGTAGCTACATGCATATAGATATATACCATCTCTTTATTTATCATTCTCTGATGATAGAATTATAGTGACTTATTTTTCTTTGTGCCTTTATGCGGATTTCACATTTTTACATGAATCTGTATTTCATTTGTATTACATATCTGATATTCTCTCTTTTTTTTTTTTTTTTTTTTTTTTTTTTTTTTGGTGTTTTTTTTT